AAAAAAAAAAAAAAAAAAAAAACCCAGAATCTAGGATCCCTTTCCCTCTATTAGTCTGGTCCCTCAGGATGCCCAGGTGGAGGCCTGAGCATTCAGCCTTTTGTAGCCAGCCTTGTAAGCCCTGACCCTAGAATGGCTCACGTTTTTCTTCCTGTCCCAAAGGTGATCATTGGCACAAAGACTATCCTGGCCAATGGTGCCCTGAGAGCTGTGACAGGAACTCACACTCTGGCACTGGCAGCGAAACACCATTCCACTCCACTCATCGTCTGTGCGCCTATGTTCAAGCTTTCCCCACAGGTAGGTCTGTAGCTTTGTCTCTATCTGGCAGGTAGCACAGAAGGAAGCAAGGCCCTGGGTGCTCGGATGCCAGCTCCTCCCTTGCCCCAGCTGTTTTCTGAGAATGCTAACCGGGTTGAAACTAGGATCATAGAATCGGTTTTATTTGTCTTGTCCTAGGGTCTGTTCTCTGTAGCCTAAATACAAGCAGTTGCTAAGTGAAGAGCTGTTTCATCAGTGATAGAAGCTATTTGCATTGAAAGCAGCCTATTTATAGGTCTATGTATTTTTTCATTAAGGTAAAATTCATATAACATACAATTAGCCATTTTAAAATGTACAATTTAGTGGAATTTAGTACAGTCATTGCATGTGTAACCATCATTTTCTAGCTTTAAAACTTTTTGTCATCCCCAAAACACACCCTGTACCTGTTAAGTAAACTCCACCCCCCATCTCATAGTGATGGTGAAGCTGCTTTATGGATTGGCCAATTTGGGATATTTTAAAGGAATCGTACAATAGGTGACATTTTTTGTGACTTCTTTCATTTAACAGAACATTTTCAGAATTCGTCGATATTGTAACATATGTCAGAATTTCTTTTCTTTTTAAGGTTGAATAATGTTTCACTGTGTAAGTATGCAACAGTTTATTTATTTGTTGGCATTTGGATTGGTTCCACCTTTTGGCTTTTGTGAATAATGCTGCTTTAAGCATTTGTTTCTAAGTTTTCTGGGTGGATGTAGACTTTGAATTCTCTTGGGCACTTATCTAGGAGTGGAATTTTTTTTTTTTTTTGTACCGGGGATTGAACTCAGGTCCTTGCACTTGCGAGGCAGGCGGCAGAACCACCAAGCCAAATCCCTGGCCCTAAGAGTAGAATCCTTTTTTTTTTTTCTTTTTCTTTTCTAGTTCCCCAATGAAGAAGATTCATTTCACAAGTTTGTAGCTCCTGAAGAAGTCCTCCCTTTTACAGAAGGTACGAATGTGTGTGTGTGTGTGTGTGTGTGTGTGTGTGTGTGTGTGTGTGTGTGTGTGTTTTGTTTTAGGATGAATGCTGTCAGATTGTGGTTTTTTTTTTTAATCATACTTGTCAGGATTGTTTGCATTAGCAGCTTCTAGTGTTCCAGTGCTCAGGGCACTGCACTAGGCTATGCTAATTTGTTCTGAGTTGTATGTGTTAACTAGTATGTGTTAACTGAGTTGTTGGAGGCCCATGGTAGGTTGGGTCACCCAGCATTGACTGGGTTTGGCTTTGTACATTGTTTAAAATATAGGCTACAACCAAGTAGGGAAAAAGGATCTCTTTTCAGTTGCTGTAAGGAGTCATCTTGATGAATTGGCTACCAAAGGAAGCAGGCTCTGAAATGTTACTACTTGTAAAATTTACTGTAGCCTGGACACACTCGTGTGTTGAGGTCCTTTTCTCTGGCTGCTTCTGAAGGCAGCAGCTGTGCTCCTGCTTCCTCAGCAGTTAAGCTGGACTCTCAGTACCCACTGTAGCCAGACATGGGCAGTGTGACAGTGAACAGAGCAGTTAAGGCCCTGTCTCCCAGAGCTTACATTTTTTTGCAGGTGACAGACAGGCTGTCAGGTCCTGGGATGTTTTAGGAAGAAAACAAGTGAGGGTGATGTGATAGAAAGTGGCTGAGTGACTGCCTAAGAATGGGGGAGGGTTTCAGTGAGAGGACGCTGCAGCTGAGTCCTGAGTGAACAGAGCCTACCAGCGGACATTGGGGATGAGTTTGCCAGGCACTGGTGCAAAGGCCCGAGATAGCTATGTGCACTATCAGCTGGGGAAAAGAGCCATATGGCTACAGAGTAATGAGCATGAAGGAGTCATATAAATTATAATTAGTTTGGTGATGCGGTGGGGCCAAATCTTAAAGGTTGCAGTCTCAAGTTTGAATTTTATCCAAAGTGCTATGTAAAGGCATTGCAGGATCATGATCTAGGAGTCATCGCTTCTAGTTTGTGTTGGGCCACAGCTTTCCTTCCTGGGTAGCCGGTATGCCTGCATTATTGAACCTACTCCATATGCTGCTCAGTTATTAGAGGGGGATCCTCAGCTTCACCTTTAGCACGTGATTGCCTTTCAGGAGATATTCTGGAAAAGGTCAGCGTTCACTGCCCTGTGTTTGACTACGTGCCCCCAGAGCTCATTACCCTCTTTATCTCCAACATCGGTGGGAACGCACCTTCCTACATCTACCGCCTGATGAGTGAGCTCTATCACCCTGATGATCACATCCTGTGACTACCACTCATCGTAAGCAGAACGTGCTCAGGCAGACAGAGCCGAGAGGAAACTCAGTGCTGCAGCTGCAGTGTGTGCTCCCAGCACTGGGAGAGCGGACAGAGTCAACCTAAAACAACTTAATACCACGTCCTGTCTCAGTCATCCCATCACAAGGCTCACGTCCGGGGCTGTTTCTTGCCTTTCAGGTCTTAACAGAGCAGCAGGGCTGAACCTATTGATTTTTGGAGTCTCTTGGTGACCTGGCTGCATCTGTTTCAGGAACTTCAACTTTCTGGTTCACTGGTGTGTTAAACATAACACTGACTACCTTGCTGGGATTCGAATTTTTACTCAGAAGTGGCCCCCATACCTTTTTTCTAGGCTGTGCCAATAAAAGCTACTGGAAGGTTCCTGAGTTTATTTATTGTCCTGAGCTCTCATTGAACTGAAATAGCAGCAGCAGCAGAGCCCTTTTTTGTGTTTTCTTGAGGGAAAAGCCTAAAACATAGAAGTACAAATACAAGTATTTATGGTTTCCTTTTATAATTCACTGGAAATGGCCCCAGACAACTTGTTAAGAGTCACCTAAGGTAGTTTTTCTGAGACCTCTGATCATCAGTCACTAAAAGGACACTCTCTGATCTCAGGGGTGCCCTGGGAGTCTTTAATACTCTACAAGGACCTTCTTGTTTCCTGTTAATAGGACTGTAAATTGGTGTAACATTTTAAAAGGCAATTTGGAATCTACCCTTCTAGAATTATTTATACAAGTGCACAAAGAAATATACAGGTACATTCAGTGTAGTAGTTATAATGTCATGGTCTAAGTGTTTAGCAGTAAAGGAAAGTTTAATTAAGTATGACATTTACACTCCAGATCATGATGTGCAGAGTGCAGTAGAGGTTTCAAAAGAAAGGTGTAAGATGTGGGCTGGGGATTTAGCTCAGTGGCACCATGCCTGCCTTGCAAGGGCAAGGTCCTGAGCCCGATCTCTTTAAATGAGAGTCTAGATTGAAAACATTTTGGCTGATCTACCCAGTGTTTCATTTAAATGAGTTACTAATACTGGAGACTGCATATTTTTAAAATTTCAGGTTTCTTGAAAACAGATTTGACAACTCCTGTTCCACATTTCCAAATGGCAGGAGTTAGCTGCAGTTGGTTAGCGCCTGATTCTTTTTTTTTTTTTTTTTTTTTTGATTACGGGGTTCAAACTCGAGTCTTTGAGCTTGCCAGGCAGGCAGCAGAACCACTGAGCTAAATCCCCGGCAGCGCCTAATTCTTTTAGATGGAAAATCTCTAGAAAAGTAACTCGTAAATTGCTATCTGCTTAAGCCTTCTACAACTGCTAAGCTGTAGGCAGCTTTGTTGTTACCCTTTAAAGCATGGAATAAAGCTGGGCATGATGGCACATGCCTATAATCCCAGCACCCTGGGAGGCTGAGGCAGGAGGACTAGTTTAAGTCCTGTCTGGGCAATTGAGTGACTTAACAAGTTAAAATTTTTTAAAAGGGCTGGGTATGTACCACAGTGCAAAGGCCCTGGGTTCAATCCTCAGTACCAAAAAGGAAAGATTCGTAAGGAAGTCATTTTATATTCTGATAGTTAAAAAGCTTAGGAAAAAAGCTGCAAAACAATATGCATACCATGACCCTTAATCGATTAAAACAAAATCATATGTTCATGCATAGGGAAGAAGTTTGACAATAAAACACCAGGCAGGAGGTCTTATTTAATGTTTATATATTGTTTCTACTTAAGTTTTTAACAAAAGTCTCCTGGGGTGATCCGTTTAGGAACTAGTAGCTAAGCAGAGGGCCCGCTGGGGCACAAGTCGAAAGCTGGTCTACCTTGTGGCAGTGCCTGGGTGGAAGATCCTGCACCTTTGACAAACAACCAAGAGATGTTTGACGGCCACGCTTTGATGATCAGTGCTGGTCACACATGAGGGAAAGCCCTCACTCTGTTACCTGAGATAAGTTTTTGCCTTGGGCTTCGAGTCTTCCTGACAGGAAAAACAGGACCCAAGCAGTGTGACTCAGAAGAGCCTGACTTACTCGAGCTTCAGCCTGTCAGTTACTTCTTAAAGCATCTAAAACCCCACACTTTCTCAGTGAAGTGGCTTGTGGCTACCAATTACGAGCGATTGTCTCCTCTAAAGGCACCAATTCTGACAGCAATGCACTCGGGGACAATTGTGTGGTTTGGAGGAAGGACAGCAGTGAGTCAAGGAATTTAAATCTTCCTGACACCAGAAATGCTTTGATACTGTCCTTTGTGCATCTTCGTCTGTGTCTAAAATTAGCGCTAACATCCTTCCCAGCAGGACTGAGATGAAGTTTAGAATGGGAGCTGCTGGCTCTTTGGGCCAACTCTTCCAGTTGCCTGGAACAGAACGGCAGGAATGCATACTCTAGGATCTTTGTGACCTCAATTAAGTTAAGCCCACGAAGCCTACTTTTTCCTGTTGGAAGAGGGGCAGATGTTGGAAAGGGGAAAGGTGACCTAAACAGGGTGATGCAGGAGTTCCTTGTCAACCCGCTCGACTCCCACCCTTGCCTGAACCTCGGAAAGAACTTATGAAAAAACTTAATTTGGAGAGAATTAACAGAAGTAGGATTCCATGGATGCAAAAGTCTTTCCTGAGTATGTTAAGTAAACCAAGTTAGATAACTGAATGCAGTTTCTAAAGATGCTTTTTCCCACGGTTTCTGTCTTCCAAGTTGGGCGGAGGGCAGGAAAGGCACAGTTCTTGGAACTTGAATAAGGAACAAAAATTCCTAATTTAGCCTCAGAAGAGAAGTTTTTGAAAAATACTCTACCAAGAAAAACTAAGTGTAAAATGATACCTCAAAGAAATGCCGGTACCCATAGGATTATAAGCTTCCCAGATGTGCTTCAGAACCATTTCTCAAAGCAGTCTTCTGCATCAGCTCTCAGGTTAACTAAGGCTGCCCAGCACACGGTCCCGATTTTAAGCAGTGTGGCTCTGAAACACTGCACATGTAGAACCTGGTGCAGGACTGCCTGGCCTGGGTAGCACACAATGGTAATATTCATCAGCAGTGAAGAGCCAGGCGTGGTGGTGCATGCCTGTAATTCCACCACTCGGGAGGCTGAGACAGGAGGATCACTGTGAGTTCAAGACCAGCCTGGACTACATATTGAGTTCCAGGTCAGTCTCAACTACATAGTGAGACCCTGTCTCAAAAAAAAAAAAAAAAAAAAAAAGAACACCAATAAAAAAAAAAAAAAAAAAAAAAAAAAATCATCAGCAGTGAGATAGGCAACTGTAGGGGTCCACACGGTGCACCTGTCCATGCAAACACTCCTGGGATGTGCGCCTCACTGACACACACGAGCTGTTCTGTAGTGAGGTTTCAGTATCTTATATCTGGCCTACTTTTCTTTAAATCATCTGTGTATTTATTTTTGTAGTGCTGGGGGAGTGGACCCAGGGCAAGTGCTCTACACTGAGTTACATCCCTGTCTTCAAGTTATTCTTTTACCAAACCGTCCAGGGTAGTGTGCAATGGCTAAGCAATCACTGTTTTTGTTATTGTTTTATTTTTTGATACTGGGGATCAAGCTCAGGACTTTGCACTTAAGAGGCAGGGGGCAGCAATCACTGTTATTAAAGAGCTGGAGCCCACCCAGAGGAGGGTGGCCTTTGAGCCTAACTGCACATAAAACGGGGACTATCAGATTCTTCTACAAACTGTGCCCAGAGAAGGAGCCTTTCAGTGCTTTTTTCAGGTACATTACGTATGGGGAGAGGAAAAAACTGATTAGGGGTACAGAAATACTTAACAAGATCCCTCAAGTTCATAATTTATATATAAAAACCTGCAGTTAAAAGAGGTAATGCAATGTGAATAACGATAAACGATGAAGAGGAGTAGCTGACTTCCAGCCAGTATTTTGTTTGTTTTGGACCATCACTGGACATTCCTTGCTTTTTTTTTTTTTTTTTTTTTTTTTTTTTTTGTTTTTTTTTTTTTCCTTGATGTGATCTTGCTATGTAGTCCAGGCTGGCCCTGAATATATGATGTGGCCCAGGCTGGCCTCGAGCTCTCGGTGATCATCTTGCCTCAGGCTCCTGAGTGCTGGGATAACAGGCGCAGGTGACACCCAAGTCTGGTCATTCCTGGCTTTTGAAATTAACAAGGGCAAGCTGTAAGGCTCATACAGCAAGGCTGGCCAAATTTCTTCACCTGCTGCTCTTGGCTTGGTGGCTCAGTGGGACCATGAATTCAGCGGGCAGGACACTTGGATTCCCCGACTTTGATCAGGCTGCCAGAACTGCACCAGAGGTGTCTATCAGATTGACTACTCTGTAAGGAATGGGCACAGGGTGAAAAGGACCAACAGTTAGAAAAATCATAAAGCTATAGCATAGCTTTTTCATTTCCCCCACAACTGAGGCATTACTTTAGAAGGGACTCATTACATATTCATTGAATGATGAAGCAATAAGTAAATACAGGGGTGGAAGAAAGAAGGAAGGTTGGCCGGGTGTGGTGGTGCACACCTGTAATCCCAGCACTTAGGAGGGTGAGGCAGGGGGATTGCTGTGAGTTTGAGACCAGCCTGGGCTACATAGTGAGTTCCAGGTCAGTCTCGACTACATAGTGAGACCCTGTCTCAAAAACAAAACAAAACAAACAAAAAAAAACCCGAAAGAAGGAAGGTTGTTTTGCTACAGATTATTCAGAATTTAGTTTCTTTTAGACTTCTTTTCCTCTCCTCTGGCTCCACCAATTCACTGTCTCACTGATGATGAACCAGGTCAGCTGAAAAAGGGCCGGAAATACAGTGGGACAAGCCAGGTGTGGTGGCACATGCCTATAATCCCTGCTGGGGCGGGAGGGTCACAAATGCAAGCCCAACCTGGGCAATTTAGAGACACCCAGTCTGGAAAAGTTAAGGTTAAAACAAAAAGGCTGAGAATAAAGTTTCGTGTGAAGGCTGATTCAAGCACAGGAAGCATAAGAAAGGAAAGGAAAGGGAAAAAGAAGGAAAAGGGGAAGGGAAGGGAGAGAAAGGAAAGGAATACAGTGGCAAACATGCCAGCCCGCACTCTGTGAGGCTGCTTTAGTTACGGACTTTGATGGAATGGGGAGACTTGGGGTGGAAATAGACAGCAAGTGCCAGTTTCTTCCCATCTGGATGTGCCAGGGCAGGGCAGCTGGAGCTGTGCTGCTCTCCCTCTGCCCGGCTTCCTCAGCGGCACCCAGCCCCGTGTCTAGCACTTGGCCTGCTCTGCCTTGGTTTTTCAATCACCTGTGCTGCCCAGGACCCAGCTCTTCCTTTGCCCGACACAACGCATGCTGGAAATTCTCCACTCTCACTGCTCACTGCCCCGCAGTTCTGGTCCCAGCGCTGGAGCCAGCCACTCACATTTCAGCCTCCATACTAGCACCTGTCTTAATTCTTAGTAGAACGGTTTTCTTGTCTCATCCCCATAGAGTTAGCTGTGACTTAGCAGTCCTTGAACCTGAGGGGAGGGAAGGTACCATATTCTATCCTATTTCCCTCTCCTTGACTAAAGCCTCTGAAAGGTAGAAACAGCCATGTGCACCTTTATTTCTCAATAAATTTTGATGTTACTGAAAAAGGAACTCTCAGGAATGGCTACACTTGACATCACATCTCTCAGGTTTCACTCTGAAGTTACTAGCACCTCTACCAGCCAGAATCTAATAAAGCTGAACCACTAAGTTTACAAACTAATGAATTCGTAATAAATTAAAAATATATTGTAGGGGCCAGGGGTTTAGCTCAATGGTGCTGCACTTGCCTTGCAAGCAAAAGGTCCTGAGTTCAATCCCTGGTACCAGGAAAATAAATAAATAAATACATTACATTCTGTGGGGTAGCAGGAGGTAAAAATGTGAAGTAGTATGCAATTTAAAGTACTGTACAAAAGGGAGAGTAACTTCCCAGGAAGACTGCGATAAGAACTAGAAATAGAGCTGGAGATGTAGCTCATGGTAGAGCACACAATTAGCATTCGTGGGGTTCTGGGTTCAACCCCCTGCACCTGCCCCACACACACATGAAAGAAAAATGGAAAAATAGTATATACAAAGCCATGAATACATAGAAATTCCCAATAAATGCTGGTTATTTATTTTTGTTACTAAAGTCAGAAACTTGAGTATTACTCTTGGCTTTATCACTTACTTGCTATGTGATCTTAAACAAATCACTTAGTATTCTGCCTTAGTTTCCCCTTTGTAAAATGAGAAGAATATTACATTTCCTTATGTGCTGTCAGAAATTGAAATGCAGTGCTGGGGATATAGGTCAGTGCTAGACCCTACCTAGCATGTGTGAGTCCCAAGGTTCCATCCAGTACTGAAAAAGGAAAAAATAAATTCAAATAAGGTATATGATAAGTTATTTTATAAAGCTTAAAGTATGGTGGCCAACATCTGTAATCTCAGCACTGTGGCAGCACTGAGGCAGAAGGATGGCAAGTCTGAGCCCTGCCTGGGCAGCTTATTAAAACCCTGTCTCAAAATATTTATTTATTTATTTATTTATTTATTTATTTATTTATTTATTTATCTATCTATCTATCTATCTATCTATTTATTTATTTATTTATTTAGGTTTTTTGAGACGGTCTCACTACATAGTTGAGACTGACCTAGAACTCACTATGTAGCCCAGGCTGGTCTCGAACTCACAGGAATCCTCCTGCCTCAGCCTCCCGACTATTGGGATTACAGGCATGCGCCACCATGCCCGGCCTCAAAATATTTTTTTAAAATAGGGGCTTGTGGGCTGGGGATGTAGCTCAGAGCACAGCACCTGCCTAGCAAGCACAAAGCCTTGAGTTTAACTCCTGGTACCAAAAAAAAAAAAAAAAAAAAAAAAAAAAAAAACCAATGTAGCTCAATGTAAAGGCTGTGGTTCAGTCCTCTGTACTGAAAACACAAAAGAAAAAAAGAAAAGCTTAAAGTTCCATATACCATATTGGTGTCAATAATTACTATTATGAGGGCCGGGGATTTAGCTCAGCGGTTTGGTGGCCTGCCTTGCAAGCTCAAGGACCCGAGTTCAATCCCCAGTACCAAAAAGAAAACCCCAAAACAAAAATAATTACTATTATGAGGGCCGGGGATTTAGCTCAGCGGTTTGGTGGCCTGCCTTGCAAGCTCAAGGACCCGAGTTCAATCCCCAGTACCAAAAAGAAAACCCCAAAACAAAAATAATTACTATTATGTATTACTATGTATTATAGTATTATGTATTACTATTATTACAACATTAATGTACGTTGAAATGTATCTTTGTTCTTATAACACTTGTAAAACTAAAACAAAAGAAAGTTCTAACAGGCAATAGAAGTAATCTATCAGATATTTTTGGCTAATAGGTTGATGCTTTATGCCGATGCATACTATTGAATTGATAAATTATTAAACGGGGTAATTATCTTACATTGTGAGTCAGACTAGGCATGAACACTGGTGACATAATTCATGGAGAACTTTTTCTAATCCTCTGCTGCTCTCAGAAAAACCCAGTAGTTTGGGATTACAAATAGCAAAGCCTTTTTGAAATTCCACCCTATCATTCTAATACGAGATATGGCAACACTTTTTGAAACCCCACAAATTGGTCTGGTCTAAAAAGATTCTTCAGTTACTGGGACAGGTTTCTTCCCAGTGGCTCCTGAGAGTGAGGGTGAGGCCCAAGACCATGCCTTGCAGAGCCCCTGAAAATACCCTCCTTTCTAGGGACACAGCTCCTAGTGTATGAAAACTCTCTCATATGGACTGAGTAGGGTTAGCAGTGTTAGCAGTTAGCAGTGCCTACACTTCAAGGTTCTAATTACATAACTCTACAAAGATCCCTGAAAAGGGGTGAAGGATTCTCTATACCTGCCCAAGGCCCATGCTCAAGAAGGTAATGCTTTCATTACTAAGACTCAGTCCAGGGCTGAGCACACATTTGTTTTCTCTATTTAAAAATGAGAGGAAGCTGGGCCGTGGTGGCGCACGTCTGTAATCCCAGCACTTGGGAGGCTGAGGCAGGAGGATTGCTGTGAGTTCGAGACGAGTCTGGGCTACATAGTGAGACCCTGTCTCAAAAAACCAAAAACCAAAACAAAACAAAAAAAGAATGGCACAGCAAGCGTTTATAGAAAGATTAGTCTTGGCTTCAGATCAAATTAGAAGGCTATTATATAGGCATACTGTAATAAAATCAAGATACAATTTGAAAGGAACCAAAAGAACTGTTTCAAAAGAAAAAAAAAACTGGACATCACATCTGGTTAGGTTGAAAGAATAAATACTGCTATTTTGATATGACAATTACTTTAATACAAAGAAACACTTCAGAAAATACAAAATAAATCATATTTTTTAAAAAAGCTCATTGTATGTTTACTGGTTTAGGATATTCAGGATATGAATATTAGTGTCTATGTTTTTTAAAAAGCAATAAAACAAACTAGCAGAGAAAAACAGGAACTGGACATTTTCTCTACTTTATCTTTGCCTGTGTTTCTCTTTATCAGGTTTTTTTTTTGTTGTTGTTTGGTTTTTTGGTACCAGGGATCAAACTTGGGTCCTTACACGTGTGAGGCAGGCAGTGGAGCCAGTAAGCTAAATCCCTGGCCTCTTATCAATAGTTTTTAATCCCTAAAATAATTTACTTAAAGCCCCTACAGAAGACCTCAGGAATGTAAAGAAGCAACAGAGGGAAGTGAGGAAGATTGAGGGAGAGGAGAACCTAACAGAGAAACACAAAGGGCCGTCAGGGAAAGCAGAGTAGCTCTTGGGGTTCAGCTCAGGCTCAATTGCATAATCACAAATTCAGAGGATAGAAAAAAGTTCCCCAAAACCACAACCTTCAAACATAAGCCAACCCACCAATCAGACAATTAATCATTAAATGTTATCACTAAATAAGTTACAAAAGGCAGACACTACATGGCAATCTCCTGTACCCATGGATGCAAATGAATGAACTGTCTTCAGCCTTAAATGCCATCTGGCTGTTCAGGTAGAGGGCCATGTGCCCCAGAAAGACTGACATAAAGGACCTTGCTCCAGGCAGGGCCAACTCAGCCAACATGATGTAGCTACTGCTGCTCATCTCTCTGCTCAGGGGCCACAGTCGGCATCCTCTAACCCTTTGTTTCCTTATAGATCAGTGTCTTTTCTCATGGTGGCTCACAAAGATGCATGGATGGCTGCAGGCTCTGCTTCATATCCCAGCCTTCTGCTTTTCCAAAACGGTGCCAAGCCTGGGACATTCTGCGAAGTTTAGCAAGGTTAGGTTTAACCTATGGGAAAAAAAGAGAGTAATTCCAATTAGCAATATGAAAAGCCAGGGAACACAAAAGTATCCTCAAAACATGGCTGTTCAAATCTGTTTAGATTTCTCATTTCTGAACGCAGAAGAGATTACAGGGTTCCTTAGGCCTAGTGGGAATGTAAACTTTAAATCCAGAATCTCATCTCTTTACCAGGAGAGACCGAATTTTTATTTTTTTGTGAGGTCAGAGTTTTTAATAGCATAAAGTCAACTAGATGAGTCAGGAAACATTAGTAACTGAAAACTCCATGTAAGAAAAGCCATTTTGGCCTTTAGCAGGAAAGAGAAAAAAAAAAAAAAAGATTTTGGATGTCAACAATATGGACACTGGTATTATGTGTTCACAGTCTGTTCCTTTTTTTTTTTTTTTTTCATGTTCTGTTTCATTTAAGATTATAACAAGGACAGAAAATGTTCTTAATTTAAACCACACTGTGCCTTTATTGCATTATCCATATCATGGTTCGTGAGTTGCTGAAGAATCAGGAGCACAGCAGAATGTGAGCTCTTCTCCTAAGCTTGGTTTCCTGCCTGATGATCCTCAAACCACAACTCAAGAGATCTTTGGAGATAACTAGATACACTCACCAGGTCAGCATTTTTAGCACATACTGTCAAGAAACTGGATGTTTAGGCTGTATTTCATCAACACTGAATATGCTGTGCTTCTAGCAGCTTTCTCTCCCTCCAGGAAGGATTTCTGTATCTCAACAAACCTAGAGCCAGCAGGCAACAGTGGTACAGCATACTTCTGTCTATACACGAGTTAAAGTTAAAAATACAGAGTTGTCATGTGGATAATCTGACACTTTAGTCTAAACTCCATTTTGAATGTGAGCTGCAAGACAAAATCAGTAGGCTTTCAATGAAATCTCCAGTGCATGTTTTCCAAAACTCATATTTTGGAAAGGATTAAGACAGATTACATCAGGACAGCAGAAGATAAACTGTTTCTTCCTGCTCCTGTTAGTCACCAGTGTACCTGTTTCTCCTGCTCCAAGTGGTCTAGGTTGGCTAACGGCAGCATAGACGGTCTCCCGTGAGCACACTGGAAAGGCAGCTGGCACCAGGACAGAGCTTCAATAAGGCGATAGCTCTCCTCAGGGCTCAGGTGATCATTAAACTTAATGGCCCCTAAACATAAGAGAGAAACCAGAAGGTTATAGGGCACATGGTGAGAAACCAGTGCTGATCCTGGGTGACAGCCAAATATCTGGGAGAAGTAACGTATTTCTTAGGCTTTTTTAATGTGGCTATAATACTGCTTCTAACTGACACTTATGGCCAAGAACAAAAGTAAGGCTTTAGGACCAATCTTTCTGTCCCTTGGCTTTATGGATTATTTGTCTTTCTTGTTGCTATAGATGTTCCTTCCTTGTTAGAATCTTGCTTTCAGGGTTTTTCTGAGAGGGAGGAACAGTGTACACATTTACTTACTTATGGTCTGTGAAGTTGAAGTTACCATCTGTCTATGGATTGTCCTGTAGCATTTTCTGATTTTTCCCTTATAGTGCCCATTTTACTTTTTTTCTAATTTCCATAATAATCTTCCTAATTTAAACTCTCATAGTTAGAATCTGCTTTTATTCCTACATTAATTCACTCAGTCTACAAATATTTCTTTTCTTTTCTTTCTTTTTTTTTTGGTACGGAGAATCGAACTCAGGATCTTGAGCTTGCCAGGCAGGCGGCAGAACCACTGAGCTAAATCCCCGGCCCAACAAATATTGCTTAAGCATAAACTTTGTATTAGGAGCTTTGCCAAGAAGTAAATGAGACAGATGCTTTACCCTCATAAAGCTTATGGTCTAATAGTTGAGACAGACATTAAACAAATAATTACATATCATGAAGACCTTGTAGGCCATGGTAAAGCACAACATTTTTATACGAAGAGCAACAGCTCCTCACTGCCATATTTTAGCTGAAAGAATGCCATTCTTGGAGGGATGTCCCGAGAATATTCCTGTGGATGCTGATGGCTTTGATCAGGAGCCAGGATGGGTGTGAAGAACAAAGAGGATTCAGTATCCCAAGGAAAAGGAAGTAGCAGTGGAGGCAGTGGGAACAGAGATTTAGGATACAGTTTGAGGATAGCAAAGATGAAATTTGGTGATGGGATAGATAGGATAAAGGGACAGAAGACATGAGGGTACCTGCAGGAGACAGACTAAGGATGGACCACGTTTACCAAACTGAGAAAGATAGGAGGTGACAAGATTAATAGACATGAATGAAATGGGGTGCTGTTCATGGACTGGGGACCCACTGCTATTAATGATAGCTGCAGGGGATTCCATAGCTGTGGCGATTAGTTTATCTTATTCTTCTAAGCAGCCTCAATGACGGTAATGCCTCTGTATCAGATGTGAAGTTCTTGCTGTAATTTTCTGGGCTTCTGTTCTTTCTTGCCAGCCTAATTTCCGGGTACTCTTTGCTGCTCCTCATGTTAGGGATTCGTTTCTGCCTCTGTGTCGGCACAGGCTGCTTCCTCTCCCCACAGTGAACTCCCTCTTCGATGCCTGAACGCATCACCCTCAGCCCATTCTGAACTTGGCCACAAAGACACCTCTTCCGGGCATCTCCTCTGCTCACATGCATCAGTCTGCACTGTACTGAGTGCAGGCACTGTGCTTTGTAAAAATTTTCTGGGCTTCGGTTTTATGAGTATTCAATTTCTTGATCTAAATCCTACTTTTAAAAAGGGGCAAGCAGAAATGCGCCTTTTGCCTCTTTCCTAACCACTACAATGCTGGCTGCCAGCACTCAGCACATGGAGGACTCAACAGCTGGCCATGGAGGCTCTTACCGTGGCAGGCCTGGGAGGCCAGCACCTTCTGGACTGTCAGTGGCAGTGTCCCGTGGATGCCTCCTGTGGTCTGGAGCAGCTACATTAACAAGAGAAGGGGACAGACAATGAAGCCTTCTGTGTGTAGCGCCCCTATGTGAACTCCCAAGGTAAGAGAAAAGCTTACCTCCACTTGTTCCCGAATAAATTCCTACAAGGCAAAATGAAAACAGGAGGCATTAGTCTACTGTTATGTTTATTGCCTTTTGATAGTTTGCAAAATGTCCAAATTTTCTTCTCGAAGATATACCACCTGAAGGAGAGAGCCCTAGCAGTACAACTCTTAGATACAAATTTATTTGTTTAAACTTGTTTATATTATCTTAGCCAGAAGAAGTTTAATATCACAGACAAGCTGAGAATAAATATACAAAAATTATCAATACAACTGTGCACATAGTCACTTAAATATTATAAACATTAAATGAATAGTCACTACCACAGGCTTTTTTGGGACAATTCCCTTTAGGTCAAAAGCTTATTTTATGAAGCATTTTGTTGAGAAGTTTCTTCTCCCTTGTATATCTCTGTCCCTGATTTGACCTTTTCAATAGTTATATCCCAGTAGATATTTTACTGACAAAAGAACTTCAAAGGAATTTAAAGCCAATGCTATTGAGTGCTACTAATATTTAACCTCTGGAGGTACAAAGCGTATTTAATAACCTCTTTATAAACTGCAAGGTGATTTCTGTCCCCCCTCTCTTCCTTCCTTTCTACCCCGTCTTCCTGTCACACCCCTCTCTCCCTTTTGTCTCCTCCCCTCTCCTTCCTCCCCTTTCTCCTCCCTCCTTCCTTCCTTCTCTTTGCTGTAGTACTTGGTACTAAACCAGGACCTTTACTTAAAATAATTTCTTATTTTGAGAAAGGATCTTGTGAAGTCATTAAGATGCTCAGGCTAGGTTGGAACTTGAAGTCTTCCTACCTCAGCCTCACAGAGTGCTGGGACTATAGGAAGGTGACACAATGCCCAACTGGGACGATTTTCTTTTTTTAAATCAGACTTGGAAAATTCTTCTTTCTATGTACTGTAGTGTATATGCCTATAAATGAGCATAGTTACTAAGAGCTAGGTGGTAGATAATATCTTGTATCTATTTCAAAAGCCACATATTTTTCCAAACCAACCTAAATAGAAAGATGTCTCATAATACCTAACAAAGCTTAGTGTGGACAGAAATCAAACCTAACTTCTTTGCTATTGTGTGACTGTAAAACATCAGTTTGTAAGCCTGATGAGGGGAAGAAGGGTCTCATTCTCAGTTCATTTTGTACTTCAGAGGTTCAATTAAAGCTTTATAATTTAAATAAAATTAAAAAGGACCATTCATCAGGCTGGGGTACAGAACATTAAAGAAGTATGTATTAGGGCCGGGCTACCGCCTGCCTCACAAGCACAAAGTCCCAAGTTTGATCCCCAGTACCAAAAAAAAAAAAAAAAGCATGTATTAATCTTTGTACGGCATTAAAGTACCTCTTCAAAATACCAAACTGTTGAGAAATGGGAAGAAAGGAGCTAAAGGTGTAGGGAAGGTGGGATGGGTAGGGGAAAGGTAATAAGGGAAAAGAAAAAAATGTGAGATAATGAAAAGATGGAAATAAAATGTTTGTAGATGGGGAGGGGAGGAGGGGGTGAAGGGAGGGCAAGGACAAGGGGAAAAAATGAGAACCAAGACCTGTCATGTAGAGGTACAAGATACCAACAATGAATGTAACTGTACTGTATCCCTAAAATGTACCAATAAACTCAATTAAAGCTGAAAAAAAAAATACCAAACTGTTCCAGCTTCTTCCAGAACCAACAAAATCTCTCCTGATCAGCCCGACTTAACATGATCAAGATTTTCTGAAACTGCAAGCTTTGTTTCAATTTGAAGTAAACTCCTTAATGGTAGTCTTTGAAGTAACTTCAGAAAAAGTTTTTATTATAATTTTCTGGTTAAATTTTTAGGGATTAAATTACAATAAAAGATTTGAAAAGATCCTATCTTTTGGGTTTAAGACAACTTGGAGCACAAGTCTTAGAAGAAATAAGCTCTGTGGGGAGTAAAGACCTCTGTTGAAGGCGAAACAAAGGTTGTTAGATTAAAAGGCAAGTTTGGAAAGGGTAAAATCAAGGTAATCTAACAGCTGGCACTGTTAACTTCCTCTTGCGCTTGAATTTCTTCTCATTCTCTGCCTATCAACATGTTCAGGTCTTTTCCAGCTTAAAAGAAACAAAAGTCATTCTTCAGCCTCTGTCCTGCCCCTCACTTCTGGACCACGCTTAATCCTTCTGTTGGAAAGAACAGCCAGCTTGGCCTCACCCCTCTCCTTTCGCTCACTCCTGACCCACTGCACCCTTCGGCCCACTTCATGCCTGGGAAATGATCCCACAAGACAACCTTTGTCCTCACCGAGCCAAACCCAACTTCCCAGGCTTGCTTTATTGCCACTGTAGACCATTTTCTTCTGGCTTACAACTGCCCTTACTTTTGGCAATATTGCCTTTCACATATTTTCCATCATCCTTACAGTTTCCTCCTTTCAGCAGTCACTTTCCAGACCTCTGCCAAAACATATACTCTGAATGCTGGGGTCCCGCAGACTGTACCTTTTGCCCTCCCTTTTTGACTCTTTATACTCTTCTGGGACAAGCTTACTTCCTCCAGCCTTCTCCAGTTTCTGCTATGATTAAAATGTAAACGCTGTTAACTCTTGAAGAGACACATGCAGCCCAGATTTCTCTTCCAGGTGCTAGATCTGTAGATCAGTCTGTGTACTGGACATCCCCACCTGAAGGGACACTGTGTATTTACTTTGTCAGGTGTGCTTCTCCTCTATCACTGTTCTCTCAGATGGCACGTCCTTCTTTCATCTAGCTAAAACCCTCAGAAGCACTATTATAAACCTTTTATTCTTTTCATATTCTGTTGCTCACCAGGGCTTCTTTTTTTTGGTACCGGGGATCAAACTTGGGCCCTTGTGCTTGTGAGGCAGGCGGCAGAACCACTGAGCTAAATCCCTGGCCCCGTACCAGGTCTTCTTGATTCCACCTCCCAGGTCCGGGAAGTTAGCTAATGGCACCGCCCCTGCCTTGCCTTGGTTCTACCTTCCAAATCAGGCCTCAGTATTACCTCTGCATTCCCACCACTAGTGACCCAATAACATCCTCATCTTTTCATATCAACCAATGCAAAAGCCTTTGTAGTGCTCACCCTGCTGCAAATCTTTCCCAGATCAACCTATCCCATGACTTATCTACTAAGTCTATCTTACTTTTAAATTTGGATATTACTAAAGTAATTCAGATTTCTAGCCAAAGGGTACACTGAGTTGATGTGCATTTGCTTGTGCTCCAAATAGGGGTAGAGAGAAAGAAGGCATAGAAACCATAAGTAAAAAGAATTGGCAGATAAAACTTCTGGAAATAAAAAAATATACCCATCAAAATAAAAACTCAGTGTGTAGTTAAAGACATCATTAAAAAGCAGATGAGAGAGGAAGGAGATGTAAAAAGAATTAAGATGTATTATGTACTTATACCAGCTCCCCATGATGAATGTAATCACTATGTACTGCAAACATGTACTAATAAAAATAAAAATTAAAAAAATAAAAATCAGACATTGAAAGACTCCAGTTTACTGGAAAAGAAATAAAGGAAATTTATCAGAATGTACCATAGAAAGCATAAGAGTCACAGAGAATAGAAAAATAAGGTACAATAGACATCTTATGGGATGGACTTGCAGGGGAAGAGAGAATGGAAAAGAAGCAAGGTTTGAACTGATGATGACTACCCTTTCCAACCGAAGATGCATGATGAACCCCATGAAGCAAATGAAAATAAACCCAGGAGACTTTAGAACACCAAAGATAAAAAACAGTCTTAAAAGCAACCAGAAAGAAAATCAGATTAGAGTAGTGATAGACTGGAAATGGACTTTAGTGGCAGAAACAAAGTCAAAAGTAATGGATTATTTTGAAAATGCTGGGGAATAACTGGCAGTATGGAATTCTGCTTTTAACTAGATAGTCACTAAAGTGTGAAGGCAAAATAAAGTATTTCCAAAGACAGTTTATCATCATGAACTCCTTTTTTTTTTTTGAGACAGGGTCCCTAGTATAGTTGAGACTGAGCTGGAACTCACTATGTAGCCCATGCTGTTCTCAAACTCACAGCAATCCTCCTGCCTCAGCCTCCCAAGTGCTGGGATTACAGGCATGCACCACCATGCCCGGCTTCATGAACTCTTCATAAAAGGACTTTACGAGATTTACTCCAATAAAAAGAAAACTGAACACACAAGTAAAAGGTAACATGCAAGAGGCAACAGTGAACAGACTCTGGTAAACATTTTGATCCAATAACTTGACTGTAAAATTAATAGGCATTGAGTGAGGTGGAATTAAATACTGAACAACAATGGAAGACTAACGGGAAGTAATGGGAAATAAAGAGTTTAAAGGTTTTTGAACAGCTTAGGAACGGGATAGAGAATCAAACTGCCTCTAAACTTTGCTAAATATACACGCTAAAATTCAAGGTTTAAATGATACAAATGGAGTATATATATAT